GTAGTTATTGGGATTCTTCATGTGTCTGCCCACCTGGCTGCAGCTGTGATTCTTATGCTCTTGCTGGAATTAGGCATTGAGACATGTATTCGGCATAAGCTACTTGCAACTTCCGGTAAGATTTTGCATTTTGTCTTCTATTGTGTGATTGTGTGTCTCCAACTAATTTACTTTTATTAGTATACTCTTTATTCAGTTTTCTTTCTTTCCTTTAACTTCCAGTGACAGTTCTGAACTTAATGTACAATCTTAAATTTACATGAAATGCACCTTTTGTTTTTAAATAACTATTCTCACCTATCTCTTAGAGGTCGTCTGGTTTGTGAACAAGTTGTACTGGGATAATAATGTGGGCATGTACAGTGTAGAATACAAAGATATATTTGGTTTTACACTAGATAAACCTTTATTTTCAATTTTAACCTTGGCTTCCTTGAAGACTTTGGAAAAAGAGCATCTTTGTCATTTTTGTTTTTTTTTAATCCTGGAATCCGGGGATTCTTATCCATATTGAGTGTGGTAAAAATAATACCACAATTGTGGTATAAATAATCCCGGGATTGCTTGTACCCGAATAAAAAGTTTCAACCAAACATGGGATAAAATAATCCCACATTTTATCCTGGGACTATTATCTCGTATCTTTGTAATCAAACGGCCCCTTAAGTAATAAGAACTGCCCTTACGCCCTTTGTGACTAGGGGTGTGCATTCGATTTATCGATTCGATTTTGACCCTTATCGATAATTACTTATCGATTATCGATTTGTACATATGCTTATCGTTATCGTTTCAATAAGGTTTCGATTTTTTCGATTTCGATTTATCGATTTTTGGGGCTTATCGATTCTGTTATCGATTACACCAATAAGAAAATTTGCGGGATTCCACGGAAAATATATCGCTATAAACACGCCTAACTAATATGGACCAAAAGAAACTAAAATAAGACGAACACCGTTTATAACATAAAAATTGTGTCAACAAGCACATGCAACGAAACTAAAGTAAGGGATCAAATGTATGCCACCAACACTCCAACGGTATAAAAAAAAAATACACCATCACGGCTAATTCTATTTTCCATTAATTTGAACTTCATTCCCTTGAGCTTTAAGTATGATCATTCCTTAAATGTGGTAGATGAAATAATAGGGTTAGGGACTTAAGGTAAAGGAAAGGGTATTATAGAATAAGGGTAAAAAAAAAAAATTAAATATATATATATATATATATATATATTTTAGTATTTCTTATCGGTTTATCGATAAACCGATAAACCGAAGAGGACAAAATCGAAATCGAAATCGATAACTCGATAAGGAAAATTTTGAAATCGAAATCGAAATCGATAAATCGATAAACCGATAACAAATAATCGATTCGATTTATCGACAAACCGATTCGAATGCACACCCCTATTTGTGACTTTGTCACTTATGATCCATCTTTCCGACTAGGGCACCATGAGCTGAGGCTGAGAATTTTTCGTCATTTTAGAATGATACAAGGATCTTGAATCCATCCACCTTTTGACTGAGATTACCTAACTTAGCTCTAATTTTCTGTTTCATGTTTTTTTGCACTTATATCCTTTGCTAACTACTGAATGTTGTAATTCAGGATATCATACATTATATGAATGGTACCGATATGTGGAGAGCGAGCATTTTCCAGACCCAACAGGCCTTAGGACACGTATAGAACAATGGACATTTGGCCTTTACCCGGCATGTATTAAATATCTCATGTCTGCTTTTGATGTTCCTGAGGTAAGAATATGCTCCATGAGAGTATTGCTTTATGATGATTCAATTGCTTAATTATGTAATATCTGTGTTTAATCTGATGCGTGTTTTCAGGTAATGGCAGTCACCAGGAATACTATCTGCAAGAATGGGATGGGTTTCCTATCTCGAGGGGGTGCTGTAATTTATTATTCGTCTGTCTTCCTTTATTTTTGGGTCTTTTCAACACCCGTGGTTTCTTTGGTGTTTGGAAGCTACCTGTACATTTGCATTAATTGGCTTCATATACATTTCGACGAAGCCTTTTCATCACTCCGTATTGCTAACTACAAGGCATTTACACGGTTTCATATCAACAACAAAGGCGATCTTGAAGTTTTTACCCTTGCAGTTGATAAGGTATTTTGCCACTTTTCTGTATAAGGAGGATAATAAAGGTCAAGATCTCGCTGTCATTGCTTTTACTTTGCTGTAGGAAATTGTGGCTGTTAAACATTTAGAATTTACTTTCCTTTCGAAAGTAGTTTCGATGACTTCATGATGAACTTCTTCTGCAATGTGGCTGCAAACTGCCCGGTTTACTTAATTTTCCAAAGAGTTACTACCTTTTATTTGACCCCTCAGGATCCCTGAATTATTCAGGAAAGAAAGAATACATTCCCAGAATTGACCTCGAGCTGTTTACACTTGGTGATTCATCTAATATCTGTCAATTTGTAGGTTCCGAAAGAGTGGAAACTGGATCCTAATTGGGACGGAGAACAAAAACAGCCGCAGGAGCCAAGTTACCTTCGGAAGTTCCCAAGCAAATGGAGAGCAGCATCCCTTAATCAAGATCCTGTAAATACTGTACGGATTATTGACCAATTTGTGATTGAACAGACTGAAAAACATGATCCAGAATTAACGAACGGAACAGTCAATCAATGACTCATTGATTACTAACTCATCTAGGGTCATTATTCTGTACAGATGATGTAGGCTTAAGTGTTTAGATGGTAATTCATTTCAGAAGCTCTCTGGATAGAAACAGAATTTGTAAAGAGATCTGATAAAGGTTCATTGAAATCTTAGTTGAAAAAATCTTATCTTTGCTTTGTCATTAGGGACTTAAAATATATACAGTAGTGTATATTAGGCGAATTGGACCACTGTCACATTTCATCTATAGAAATTTATTTGCTTCTGGCTGCTGGAGATAAGAAACCAGCATGAGTGGAACGATGAAAATGAACCTGTATTTTGTCCAATCTCTTTGAGACATGCTTGGTTATGTTGTGCATCAATTGTAAGAGATCTACTAGGGTGTGGTGGTATCGCTGGGATTCCGTCACCCTCAACTAGAGCTTTGGGGATGAAGAACCCAAGGTCTAGGGAACGAAGAATACCCATTAAGTTAGAAAGGTTTTTACCCCCTTATATCGGTGCAAATCTAGATTAGTCGGGCTAGTAGGTAGTAGATACCGAATGGGTAAACTGGACAAAAGAATTTGCAAGAGATATGATGCATTTAACTTCCTTTTATCTGGGAGCGGTCTTAACTAACTTTATGGGTAATCTCAACCAGGATTCAAGAGTTGGCATCTTAAACAACTTTAATCCTATTGAACCAAAGTAGTATCTTACGTGTTTGCTCAATAAAAAGAAATACATTCTTTTTCTACATTGATCAAAAGCCTGCATTTTGGTGACCATTCAGGATAATTCCATGTCTGATTGTTGGAGATTCTTGAGAAATCAGAGGTGATTTCAGGATTTGTAGTTTATGGGTTCCTATGATAATTATAAATAAATTTATAATCATAATTGGGTTCACAGTCAAATATTTATAGATATCTAGTGATATTTTAAACACATATACTGGGTTCACGTGAACCTGTATGTCGTACTCCACCCCTGCTTGAGATCTTCTTACTGTTGGGATATACTATTAACCATGCGGTTTAGACATAATATTATATTCTATTCTTGATGGAACAATTGTTTATTTAATTTATTCAATTCAATAAAGTGCTATTTTAAATAGATCATTTGTTACACGTGTGTCCTTTTAGTTATGTAGTAGACAATTTAGTGTATGGAGTCTTAGCTCATGCACAGAAGATTAAATTGTTGGTTCTCATAATTAATAAACTATGTTCACAATCAAAGATATTGTTGGACAAAATATCTTGATGATTGTAGCACAAGATTATCGTATAATTTGTCTTGATTATGGGAGTAGTTTTACTCCAACTTCTTGTGCTAGTATACTCAGTGTATATTGAACGGACCAAGTAGAGAAAAGATATTTTTGTACTGAATATATAAAATATTTTCTCTAATTTATTAAATGAGCTTATACACCTAATCTTGATATAATTATTATGATCAATGTTATTTGTTTATTGTTTGATTTATCAAAAGGTACGACTCTATTTAGAGTTAGTATATGCCTAATAGATTGGACAATAACGAATAACATTTGTGAATAATAATTAGTTGATAGAATCCATGACTCGGTTTTGGGTTTGATGATACCCCTTTATGTAAACCTATAAGTTTTCATGTGAAAACCCGGCCGGTGGATTTTGTATCCGTCACATGAAATAGTTTAAGCGGAATTATAAAGGACTTAATTAGTTAATTGAATTAAATTTTCAGTGATTTAATTTAATTAACTGGTATTTGAAATCTTAACATGGGGAGTTAAAATAAGTGTTAATGAATTTTCGAAATTCATATTGAGGAGTTCAATTGCAGTTTTTTAGTGGAATACATTGCAATTAATTATAGTAAGAATTAATTCATGCTAATTTCGAATTAATACTATAATTAGTAGCCTCTTATTATTTCTGTGGTCCCTGCTATACCTAGTAAAAACCTGGACAGACTTGGGTAAAAAGTAGCTTGGGAGAAAAGTTATCCTTTTGAGTTAGAGTAGGATTCTACTTGCAGAATCCTACACGTTTTTGAGCCCCTATTGTGGCTTAATTTCAGACTAGTTTCACCTAATAACTCACCTTTTCAGTTGTATTGTTCTTGCCCACCCAAGAGCAAAATCGTCTAAGGTTTTACTAGGCAAAAGCAGAAGACTGCAGCCCTGGACTCTTGCTGTTTGGAAGGTTTGTGCAACTACTTCAAGAGGTTAGTGCTTCTAATCTCGTTATTGTTGGTTGTCTAGTTTACATGTATTTGATACCTGGTTTGTATGCTTGCTTCCGCTGCGCATGGTCTAACACTTACCTCGTTTAACTTTCAAGATATTGAATAAGAAACAAAAATGTCCTACAAGCAATGTGACGAGTATTTCTTCCGAATTTGATAATTGAGGCTGTTATTTACAAGATAGAACTGGGCTGGAATTAGAGAACAAATCAATGTATATATATGTCCAACAAGATCCCGTCGTTCTTTTCTCTATGATAGATGGTCAAAACTTCATCTGGATTCGAATTCTACTGAGACGTCTGCCAGAGAATGAGAAATTGTTGAAGTCCTTTTCATCTGTATTAATTTCTGACTGCGCGGAACCTTCATAGCCAATCTATTTTAATAGAAGGTGTTGTCTTTGGTATTACTATATATAGTAGTATAGTTAGTCTGCATTAAGAAATGTCTCATAGGGTGTTCCCTTGAGCTTTTTCTTCACATCATCCCAATTCTGTATTTGTTGGGACAGAGGGCCACTATGTATCTTAACCTGACCACTTTTGAGTTCTCTTTGAGGCAGCCCTAGAAACTCTTGGACATCAGCTAGTTTCTGCACAAACAAATAGACAAAATATTGCTGTTATTCATCAAACTTGTGTAATATGTCAAGTTTAAGATAATTAATCAAAGTACGCCTCAATTTCAAACTAGTAAGGAGCTTTACAGTGCGATTTTGGACTATATCTTCGTAGTAAAGAACAATGTGTCGAGTGCTCTTAAAGCATTCCAAAGCTTTAGCAGCCTTCCTCTCTGCATGCCTCAAATTTGGTATTAGTAATGTCATATTCACCACTGGCTTGTATTTTGCCAATACTTCAGCCTGAAACAGGTTTAGAAACATCAAGTTAGAAACCTGAGGAACTTCATTGAATGCTTGTGTTTTTGCTACGACGAAGGTCATTTTTCATGGAAACAATATGTTCTTTTTCATGGAAAATGTTTTCAGTGTTTGGTTGGTGAGCGAAAAATATTTTCTGGAGAAAGAATATCGTAATATTAGCAAATCGGAGAGTGTTCTAATGAAAATTTTGGGTACTATAGATTAATATTATTGTCAAAGTGTTAGTTGGAGCGTCATCATAATTGAGAGAAGTCATTTTACCATTTTGATTTTGTTAATCAAACACCAGAAAATGACTTCCTCATCGAAAACATTTTCATGAAAAATGACTTGCGTCGTGCCAAATAGACCGTTAGAGTGGGGGAATGAAGGACCTCATATGGAGAATGGACGTGGGATTTGTGTGTTCCATTCAATGGTTTAGTATCCTTGTCATAGGAATTAGCAAGTTGAGAGATCAGTCTGCGTAGCAGATTTCTTCTGAATAGAAATATTGCAGAAACACCTCTTCTGTTGAAGTAATCCACTATCTCCTCATGATACTCGAAAGCTCCCTTCAAGTTTAAATAAAAAAGTTGAGCAACATCTAGCAGTTTTGGAAGTTATCAACTAATGAAAATACTACTAATATAGAGTTTATCAGTGAGATTTGTGAAAGTAATCCTGCCTTTATTTCTATTATAGTATTAAAAAAAGGCAGTCCGGTACACTAAACTCCCGCTATGCGCGAGGTTCAGGGAAGGACCGGATTATCGCAGTCTTACCCTACATTTTTGCAAGAAACTGTTTCCACAGTTCCAAAACAAGATTATGAGTCTCAAGTATCCAATTAATTAATCTCACAAACCGGAGAAGCTTAACTGGAACCACAAGCAGATTAAGCCAAGAGCCCTCTATTACCACAAGCAAAAGGTAGCTATTTAAGGGCTATCCTTGTATCATGATTGTGATATAATTATTAGGTGTTTGTCATGATTTTCTTACTATAATTAGATTTCTTATCTCCTGAAGAAAAGTACAATATATTTACCATAATTGGGTTTTCCTTCTTGTAGAAGGAAATTATAAATCTCTCATATTTTCTTTTAGGAAATAAATTGAGGATCCTTCTCATTCATCAGCATCCACAATGTAGCCATATGAGGTTTGAGAGTCTTGTTTAGGGGAGAACTTTTCGGACAAGTGTTAATGTGTCACTTGTATTTGCCTCTTTGAGAGGTTGTTCTCTCGATATTTTGTACTCTCTTTTATATAGTGGACTGCTCATCTCCGTCGTAGACGTAGATCAATTGACTGAACCACGTTAATTGTTTGTCTCTTTTGGTATATTTCTCTTCTGTTGTCTGATTTATCGTCGTTCAAGTATGCTTTACTAGCTTCCGCATGACACCTAACTTATTTCGGTCCTAACAATAATTTCATTTAATCATGCATTGTGTTTCACCAAGATATTTCATTCGTTTTCTACTTCTTTTTACTCTGTTGAATGTGTGATTAACTCGTCTTAAAAGCTTAACTGTTAGAGAAAGGACATTGTTTGATCAACTCGTCTAAAAGCTTAATCTTTGTTTATGATAATGTGTGGCGACGAGACTTGTATCCAGGACCTCAACCTAATCTAATTCCATATTTATGTATCCCACTCGTCTAAAAGCTTAAGCTGCTAGAGAAAAGTACAATTTTATCTACTTAATGATGTCTCCAACACACTTAGAGTTTCCAACTGTAGATTTGAAATAGTGTCACTTACCTGATTAAGCATCCACTTAAATCCAACAGCAGCAGAGCACTCATTCTTGGATGAACTGCTATACCAATCAAGATTAAAGACTTTATCCATAATTTCCAATACTACTGAAGCATTAGTCCTTCTTGACTTAGCACCAAAGATTTCTCCATTGGAGCTCACATTTATATGACTATTTAGCAATGTCTCAAACCATCCACTCCCTGATCTCTGCATCGACAAAATCGCGAAAAATCGAACAGGATTGCACGCACATTCCTTCCTATAATTCAATCAAAAACATGTCAATTAATTTTCTTCAATCATCTAAGTTGTACTAAAACCATAAGAAGGATATTTATATATATTTGCAGCTACCTGTTAAAAGTTTGAGGCTTTGGAAAATGCAAGTAATGGATAGCTTCTTGTTGAAAAACAGGATAATGACAATTATGCCGATTAATCACATGGATGCTTAGTGAATTAGCTTGTGAAAGATAATTACTTGTTTGGTTTATACACATTGAGAAAATATAAATTCCACAAACCACTGCAAATACTACAAGTACCACCCTTAGCGATTGCTTAGATGTCTTTATGACAAATAAATCCTGAAAAAAAAAAAGAACACAAATCACCAAGAAGTTATTTTTTGTATTAAATTGGATCATAGAACTTAATGAGAAACTGCAGTTCTTGAAAAGAGAAGCTAACCTGAGGCTTCCATAATTTCAGAATCTCCATAAAAAGTAGAGGAAAAAGAAGTAGAAAAAGATTTGGGTTTTGTAGTTTGGTTTCTAAATATTGGTTATCTACCTTCAAAAGTTTAGAGAAAAATAAGGAGAAAGAAATGGTCTGAACTTAGAAAGATTCAAATCTTGAAAAATCATAACATATGTAAAGTACTTAGTAGTATAAAATAGTAACAATGGTGACAGTGAAAACTTTAATGTTAGATGAAATTCATATATAAATATGGAATCTTTTTGTTGTCTCTCTCATGCTTTATTTTAATCACTAAATTTTCTTGTTCTTCCCAATAATCAAACTAATGTTTTTCTTTGGAGGAACCGAGGTGGCGGGGAATTATTATTATTTTTTTTTTCTTGGCTGGTAGTTGTCACCCATTTTCAAAGGTGACAAAGAAAAGCGTGTTTGTGTTATGACAGTTGTCCTAAGAAAATGTGTCAAAAGACAAAAGGTTAGAGCTAATTTAATTAGAAGTATGTGACTTGTTTAATGTCGGTCGCGTTGCCTAGGCGAGGATGAGTTAATAAGGTAAAACAAGACGGGGTTGAAAGGTAGTTCACTCAGCAAGGTTTCCGCATTTTAGTGTTGAGATCATGAAATGTAGAGTTTAAATCCAATCGGTAGTGTAGTATTTTACTATTTTCTTCCCTCTTCCCCGCCACCTCCTTTGATGTAATTAAATAAAAAGGTAAACGTAAAACAAGATGGACACTTTGTCGTTTTTTTTTTCCGCCACGTGTTCAGTATTCGCATTAGAGCTCGACTATATCCGAATTCATATCGCGTAGGGACTCATTCGAAGGAAGCAGTCCCTATCAAGAATTTTTCCATACCAAGGTATCGAACCCGAAACCTCTAATTAAAGGAAGAGCAACCTCATCCCCTGCACGACCACATCCTTTGGTTGTAGATGGACACTTTGTCAATACAACTTTTTTTTCCTTTTTGCTTTCTTTCCTTTCCCCCCTCATATCATAATAATGTACTTTCTACCGTCTCAAATGAGAATTATTTTTATGTACGGACCGAACATCTTGTGGCGGATCCTACGGGGTTCCCTGAGAGATGGAACTTCGCCCGTAAGTTTCTATGCTTTCTGTCGGAATGATGTTTGACTACTTTCTGTTGGGTAGTACTAAACTGTGTTTTTACAGCCGCGGAGCTACCTCCTGCACCTGTTGATGGTATCCGCGAATGGGTGAGCGCCATTCTTCCTCATACGGCGGGTGTCCGTACATGGTCGTCGTTCTATGAGAGATATGGACGCAAGCCCCTTACTGGTGAGTAATACCATCTCTGTTTGCTATTCCTTCTCCTTCTCTTTTTACTTGGTTTCATATGTGATGTTTGTCGATTCCAGGCAGAGTGCGGAGAGATAGAGCTCCTCCGTTAGCTTTTCGTCAACCTGCCTCCTCCGCTCTCCCTGCTTCGGTATCTACTACCCGGCCGCCGTCGAGGGCCGCTTCAGTCGAATCTATGGCTACGCCGATACACGCGAAGGTTACCCCTCGTCCTGAGATTTCAGCCCCTGTCGCCTCCCCAGTGAGGAAATCTTCCCATGCCGAGGAAAGGAAGGGGCCATCAAAGAGGCGGCGAGTGGAGTTCGAAACGGCTCCTTCAGCCGTGATACATTTAGAGGAAGACCTTCCCTTGACGGGATCTGAGGCGGGAGTTAGTGTCGTTCCGCCCATAGAGACGATGCCAACTGTTGTGTCTGACCTATCGATGGAGATTCCCGCCGCTGTTATTAATCTGCCACCGGCCATGACGGGGGGTCAAATTTCTGAGGCCGCTGCTACTACTTCAGACGGGCCTTCGTCCTCGGTACCTGGTCGTGCTTCTTCCTCGGCCGCAGAAAGAGGAAAGGGTGTCGTGGTCGACGACTACAAATCCGAGTCTGATCTTGATCCCGATGATGTTAGGATGTTTAAGGAGGGTCTTACTCATTCGGTCGTTCGGGCGAGAGGGTCGTCCCGTATTCTTGAGATTCTGTCGGATATCAACCTTCTGGGAGATACGGAGGACCTGGTGCCGCAGTTTGACCTCTTATGCTCCGCCACCGAGAGCGAGGCTCTTCGGAACGTTCCTGATATTGATTTGATGCACGAAGTGGCCGCTATGGGCTTGAGAGTACGTTTCACTTTCCTTTCATGTTCCTTCCGTTTTTCTTGATGGCCTGGCCTTAGCCTGTTTTTTTTTTTGTTTTTTCAGACGTATATGGTGGAGATTGAAAGTGTTCGCAGGGCTGATACTCGGGCCAAGATTTTTTTGACGATGTTGGGGAATTATCGGCGCTATCACGACAAGTGCCGCGAGATGCACGAGCGGCTGAAGGCGAACCCTAATGCTCGATCCCTCGGCGAGGAGCTGGAGAAGAGGGATCAGCAACTGATGGAGGCTATCCGTAGAAGTAATGCACTCGAGGAGCAACTTCGTGCAAAGGACGAAGAGCTCGAGCTGGGCAAAGGGGTTGTTGCAGAGTGCGAATATCTTCGAGAAGCTTATCACGGTCGAGGCGATGAGTGCGGAGGGGATGGGGAAGTTGTCGAGTTGGAGAGAAAAGTTGTCGGCTTGGAAAATATTGAGAGTGCTTGGTCATCGGCTTTGGCGAGGGCTGCGGCCTTAGAGAATACCATTCGCGTCCTCCAATCTGAGCAGGAATCGGAGAGGGTGACGGCCACACTGAGGGAAGCGAGGCTTGAGGAGCGCATCGATGAGATCGACCGAGAGGCATCGATCCTAGGGGATCGGGTCGCTGCTCTTGAGGCCGAAAAGGAGCAACTGTTGGCTCAAGTCGAATCCTCCTCCAACACTGTCCCTCGTCATTTGCACGAGCTTTGGGTTCATGCTGAAGCCCAGCAGGACATCTACAAGGGTTTGTGGGAGTCGGGTAGCGTTACTGAGGCCGTATATGAAGGAGCACGGGCGAAGACGCGAGAGGCTCGTGTTAACTGTGGATATGACTCTGCAACGCCGGAAGCTGATGAGGGTGCGGGTGATGAGGGAGGATCTCTTGGAGATGGTGCCGATTGAAAGAATTGCTATCTTTATTTTTCTTCTTTTTATTATTGTTTATCGTTCTTTTCTTGGACTCCGTTGGTTTTAGCTGTAGGTAATTTGCGGCTGTTTGCGCAGTAGCTTTGTATGAAGAGGATTTATCATTGTTACATGTCTTCTGCACTCCTTTTCCTATTTTGCTCTTCGTAATTTTAATGTAAAGAAGGTTTTTTCATGTTGACCTCCCACTCCTTAGGGGACTTCAAGGTCACTCGAGTTGAGTAGAACCTTGGTGACGGCTTTAGCCGACGAGACGGTGCTTGTCACCTTGTGTCGAGATGCTAACCTATCAACGTCCGAATGGTATCGGATTCCTTTTCTAATAGCGGCCTTAGCCGTAGGGATTTTATTTTCGATCTTATATCAAAGTATCATCCCATCGCGAGTCCCAGTTTTCTTCGGCGATGGCTTTCGATCTTAGGGGTATCATTTCGAATTCACGTTGAAATGCTGACCCGTCGTTGTTCGATCAAGGTCGAACTCTTCTTTTTGACAGAGGCCTTTGGCCTTAAGGGTGTCATTTCGGGTGTTCGTCGAAATATTAACCCGTCGTTGTTCGATCGAGGTCGAACTCTTCTTTTTGGTGGAAGCCCTTGGCCTTAAGGGTGTGATTTCGAGCTTTCGTCGAAATATTAGCCCGTCGTTGTTCGACCGAGGTCGAACTCTGCTTTTTGGCGGAGGCCCTTGGCCTTAAGGGTGTTATTTCGAGCTTTCATTGAAATATTTACTCGTTGCTGTTCGATCGAGGTCAACTCTGCTTTTCGGCGGAGGCCCTTGGCCTTAAGGGTGTGATTTCTGTAACGACCCGATCGGTCGTTTGGAGCTCTAGCGCGTCGTTCAGCAGTTTGAGGCCACGAGCCGCTTCATTTCAGGTATTATGACTTGTGCGCATGGTCGGAATTGAATTATGGGAAGTTCGGAGTTGATTTGGAAAGAGAATTCTCATTTCGGAAGCTTTAAGTTGAAAGAATTGACTAAGATTGGATTTTAGAGTAAACGACCTCCGAATCGGGATTTGAAGGTTCCAGCAGGTTCGTATGATGATATTGGACTTGGGCGTATGCCCGGATCAGGTTTTGGGTGACCTGGGAGCGTTTTGCCGCCTATTGTGGAAGTTAGCATTTTGGAAAAATTTCATAAATTTGGGTCGAAGTGCATTTCAGTGTTATCGATGTCCGTTTGGGATTCCGAGTATGGGAATAACTCCGTATGGTAATTATGGTATTAGGAGCACGATTGGAAGTGAATTCGGAGGTCTGTAGGTCGTTTTGGAGTCATTTGGCTAAAGATAGAAATTTGAAGGTTTTCGAGAAGTTTGACCGGAAGTGGACTTTTTGATATCGGGGTCGGATTCCGATTCTGGAAGTTGGAGTAGGTCCGTAATGTTGAATATGGCTTGTGTGCAAAATTTGAGGTCAATCGGATGTGATTTGATATGTTTCGGCATCGAATGTAGAAGTTTGAAGTTCTAAAGTTCATAAAGTTCGAATTGAGGTGTGATTCGTGATTTCGGCATTGTTTGATGTGATTTGAGGCCTCGAGCAGGTCCGCATTATGTTTTGGGACTGGTTGGCATGATTGGTTGGGGTCCCGGGGGCCTCGGGTGGATTCCGGATGGTTAACAGACCAAATTTGGAGTTTGAAGAAGGGCTTCAGCAGCTGGTATCTGGTGTAACCGCACCTGCGAGGTTTTGGCCGCAGGTGCGGAGCCGCAGAAGCGGCCAAAGGAGCAGAGATGCGGTTGAGAAGGGAGAAGGTTGGGACCGCAGATGCGGTCAAGTCACCGCAGAAGCGGGACCGCAGCTGCGGAAGGAGGAGCGCTGAAGCGGAAATAGGGGGCCTGGGAAGGACCGCAGATGCGTTAGTGGGGCGGCACCTGCGGAACCGCAGAAGCGGTCAATTGACCGCAGGTACGGAAAGGCTGGAGGCAGTGTGTTCTTTTAAAATCGGGAGATGGTCATTTTTCTCCCATTTTCATTTGGTGGGGGCAATTTTGGAGAGCTTCAAGGGGAAATGTTCTTCAAGTATCTCAAGGTAAGTTGTTCCCGCTCATTACAAGTTAAATACATGATTTAGATATGGATTTGAACATGGAAATTAGTGGAAAACTTGGGGTTTGAGGAAAAACCTAGAAATTTAGTATTCTTGGATTTTGACCACGATTTTGGGCATGAAATTGAGAGTAAATTCTATATTTGATTTCGTGAGGTTATGGGCAAACTTTATCTTCGAAAAATTTTGAAATCTGGGCACGTGGGCCCGAGGGCGTTTTTGTCAACTTTTCGATCGGGGT